CCACAGAGCTTTGAAAATATGAACCCTTTCAATGCACCTAAACCCAGTTTGTTGGCCTGTCAGCCTGGTCAGAACTAAACCCTGTTCAGAGATATTCGTAACATCTAAATGTGTTTATTATGTCTGAAACATCCTCTTCAATTTTTAGTAATTTACATATTTAAGATTGCTCTGACAAAACCAGATGAAGATTCAGTTTAATAAAAAGAGAGAAACAATTTACTGCATTAAAAGTACACATACTCATATGCTTTGATTCAATCAAGCATGTTAGCTATGCTACAGATCTATCATTGGAAAAAGGAGTGTCAGCATCAAAATTCCCCACCCTTTTCAAGCGATCTTCAACTTCATGCTTTTGTAAAAGCAAGATAAACAACGTACAGACGACACGTCAGACCATCAGTATCAGCAACTGTGTTTATTTAAGGGGAAGAAACAAGTGCAAGAGCACGGCTGAGCTACAGTGACGCCACGCTACTTAAATGTGAGTAGTTTCATCAAGTAGCAGTTCCACCACAGCTTACTGCTGACAGACTGTATGCTTAGTAATTGTCGTGTATTCAGGAAGGTTAAAACCAGTAAGGCGCTCTGAAGCTAACCATCTATAGCTGCCATTGGCAAGGAACTTTAAAGAAAGGCAAGACAACATGAAGGAACAGAGAGACAAAGGAAATTATAATGACATAAAAACTGACAGAAAATCATGTTAGAGCACTTTCATAGAATTATATAGGATCAATAGATTGGCTTGACACATTACAGGAGCTGTTTCTTTTCTTTTTTTTTTTTAACAAAGTGGCTTTATTGAGCCTGTTTCAGCCAATAAACTATTAGTTTTAGGACCATTTTCTGTTCGGGTAAAACAAAGTTGGAGTTTTCTCACTGGGGCTATTTGTGCCTTAAAGGCAGAAAGCCGATTGTCTTTAATTCTCACTCAGAAAATGGTGCAGCCTTAGCTTAGTGTAGCACATTCAAGAACAAAAGAGCTCCATCGTGTGAAACAAAATAGTAAGAGTGACCACTTTCTTGTTGCGCTATGACTTGGCAAATACAAAAAGACTCCTTACACAAATAAAAGTTGTAAAAATAGGATAAATATCTTTCTTTAAAACCACAATTTGTTAGTATCAGTTATCCTTATATAAATCACTGGACTAGAACAAATATAGGGCATGTGAAATGTTAATAAAAGCAGTGATGGAAGATAGTAGTAAACATTAGTAAAAACTAAAATATAAAACACAGCTAGAAACACATTGTACCCAACAAATCTTAAAGGCCACCACCATAAAAATAAGGAAAATTAACTAAAAACCCATTTCCCACTGGCGCCTCTACGGCATGGTTCGACTTGGCTCTCCAAGATTCCAAGGTTTTTCCACTAGCAAGGATTCATGGAACCAGACACTTCTTCAGAACATCCTTCACTGTGGTTCCACGTATACTYTGGTGCTGGCCTGAAAACATGGCGTCTAAAGACTATTGGTCACTGATTGGTTAGGGTTGCATCACAAGAGTTACTCTCACAGCAACCTGATCTGCCATTTGCAATAAAAATGCCACCATGTCCTCCATTGTTGTGTTGAGTAACCTTTTAGGGACTTCTTCTTCTGCTACGTTTAATGGCGTCGGGAAAATAGCTTAATGGATCATAACCGCCACTGGCTGGTAAGGCTTGTGGCATCAATTTTCAAACTATGGGATGGCTCAAATTTACGATAAACCACCAACTAGAGCTGAAACCACCTGAAGTCAAACCGTGCTGTAGAGGAGCTATAGTGGAAAAGGGGCACAAGCAAGCTGCATGTTTAAAATGCAAACCAAAATGCTTAAAAACCAAGAAAAGTATCCCAAGCATAATATATATGTATGTTAGTCATAGTTGACACTTTAATTGTATCAGTAAGCTGTCATGTTTCTCGTATCTTTACAGCTGCTGTTAGTTGAACTAAGCTAGCCAAACTCCTAGCTAAAATAATTTATCATCTAGCCTAGCTTATCTTATGTCAAAGACTAAAATGCAGGAAACGATGTCTACATGTAAAACTCCAAACTGTAAATCTCATTCGATGTTTACTAAGACACTATAATTGTTTGTTACAAAAAAAATAAATATTAAAATCAGCAGTTTGTTGTTTAACAGGAGTGCTAACAAAGAGTTAAAACAAGGTAAACAATTTCCTCATTTATAATTTTTGTGCTAAGTGAATATGGATGAAGGGTTTAGCTTAATTTTTAATCAGGTTTTATCAAACATATTCAACTACTGCTTTAACAAGACTTAACCGAGTTAACCATCATTAAGTAGGAGGATTTTCACAAAAACAAAAATCATTTTCACTTCAAAGCAGGCTGCCAATTTTACTTATGGAGCTTATTAAACAGATCATCCTCATCATTTTGTAACTGTTTGCAACTAGAATAATGGTAGGTAAGTAATAACCTACCATTATTACCATCAGTCCTGTCACTTCTGGTACCAGACAATAAACTTCTGAAATGTAAAAATCTTTTTGACATTGTTTGGTTGGTGGGGGTGACCTGAAAATGTTCCTCTGTAGCTTCTAAACATGTCCAGATCTACATATAATTCTTAATTAAATATATTCACAAGGAAACAAGTCCCGCTCAACAGACATCCCTTATTATTCTACTCAGTTAACCTATATTTTAATTAATATAAATAGCATGTTAAAAAAATACGAACTTGTTGAATAAACAAAAATGTTTTTATGAGAACACAGAATAAAAAGAGGAACAGTGGCGCTTCCAAACGCTGTTCTAGTTTTTAACAGTAGTAAAACCTCAGAGGTAGAAAAAGTATAAAACTGAGAACTTAGGATCATATTGCTCGCTGACTTGCATGCCTAAGGTTTAAATGAAGAAGGTGTGCCGTCCATCAGAGAGTGCATGTTGGAGATAACTCTCAGTTCCTGACAGTATCAGAAATAATAATCCACTTATTCTTGTGATTGCTAAGGTCAATTAGCTGTGGAGCCCATCTTGAATTGGGTTGACTGCTGAAGTTTAAGATTGAAGATGTACCTCCAATGAAGGCTTTTTAAGTGTTTCATTAAAATCATCCACCGGTTTATGGGAAATTTTGGCTAGCAAACAAACGCACAAAAGCAAATAAATGATCACCTGACAATAACATAAGACAGAACGAACATGTTCACAGCCTTGTACACTTCAATTAGCTACAAATTTCTAATAGGAAGTGTACATATTTTGGCATACCACACATAAAAGAGTTAAAGAAAAAGAAAGGACACAGGTGAGCACACAAATATCCAGATAGGTCCCTTCTAATGGCACTACATGGTCCAAACAGCCAGTGGCAGCTATAGCTTCCTGGCTAACTGTCCTTCAGAGACGGAGGTAAAGACTGGAGACCACACGTGTGTTGCATTGGAGAAAAGCTGAGGAAATGTTGTGTTTGGGTTCAAACAGAGACTATTCTGGTGCCATTTCTTCAAAGACAAGTTTGTGAACGAGTAATGATCTGAACTGAGACTATAGCTTAAAGTGAACCAAGATTAGTTGTAACATTAGACTTTATTTGATAACATATATTTTTACWGCAAAATATAGTTTGCAAAAATACTGTAGGCTGTTTAGTAAATCTTTTAAATTATATTGTACCACGGACAGGGCCATTTTATTTACACGCAAAGCATTCTGGGTAAATGATGACGTGGATAGGTCCTCAGTGTGAGCGAGCTATATCCACCCTGAAGGTTAATCTTGGACAATATCTG